AGTGGGTGTAGATGACTTGTTTTAGGGCAAGTATAAAAATGCGACTGATCAATTGACTAATCTCAGTAGCTGCAGCCATTGCAGGATGGATGAAACCTTATAGGCTGCCACAAAGTTGACACTAATTGAAAATGCTCCCCAAACAACTAACATAAAACTGGTGAGGTTGTTTGTGCTGATTTGTCCTGGAACACTGAGAGATATTTGCCAAGAATAATGATTGCCTCTCTAGGCACCTGTCTGAAAATAGAGAAATGATGCCAATAGAAAAGAGCCCTCTCCCCCCCCCCATTTACTATGCCAATGGACATGCAGCCATTCAACTAACCCCAATCAAGTAATTCAGACAGAAGTAAAAGGAAGAGGTGTGTGGCAGCAGTGAGAAGAATTATTCTCAGGGTAACACCTGCCAATTATTGAACTGGCATTCATTGCCAGGTACAGGGGAAACTTCCCCATCCCAGTTATGCTTCCAGTTAATTATCAAAACACCTTCCAGATAGGGGTACCCTTACTATCTCAATTTGACTGACTAAAGAACTTAAATGATCCAGTGAGAGTCCACAACAAGGAAATTATGTATCCCAGAGCCCCAGACCTGAGTCTGTGTGACTCCTGCAGTGCATTTCATAGTATTTATTAGCCAGATATATTGCCTCCTCACTGCCTAGCTCCTTACAGTGTGGTCCCATCGGTCCTGCTGCAGCCAACCATAAAAGCCCAACCCACTTCTGAATGCCATCCACGGTAGGAATTCAGATAGTCTTACAGTGATCCTGTGAGGTGGGTAAAGAATTATCACCCAATTTTACAGGTAGGAAAACTGAGGCCTGAGGAGATTAAGCATGTGCCTACAGACACATCATTAGCAAGTGCCTATGTAAGTATTTGAACTCAAGAGCCTGGCTTCAGAGCACCTGCTAGTGTGACCCTCTTTCCCCTGATGACATGCTTGTGGCAGTCCTGCCGTCACATCATGAACATGCCTGAGTTGGGAAGTGAGGATGGAGAAAGGAAAGAACACTCAAGCCTGAGTGGAAACCAAGAGAAGTCTGATTTATTTCACAGAAACAGCTCCTTTTAAAGGCACATCAACAGGAAGCACCTGACTCCTACAGATAACGTCAGCTCTTTAACAGGAAGCACCTGACTCCTACAGACAACATCAGCTCTTTAACAGGAAGCACCTGACTCCTACAGATAACGTCAGCTCTTTAACAGGAAGCACCTGACTCCTACAGATAACGTTAGATCTTTAACAGGAAGCACCAGATTTCTACAGATAACATCAGATCTCTGGCTATCTCTTTGAGTTTCTCCCTCCCACCACAGGGTCAAAAACAAGTTTAACACAGTGGAGTCCTTGAAAAGGGACAAATGTTAACAAATGTTAATTAGGAACATCCTGACCACACATTATATGAATGCCTTAATTGTAGAGAAAGAAGTTATCTTTCAAATGTCAAAATGCCAGTGGGCCATGACTGGCCCCCACAATTCCCCCTTTTTATTATATTTAGAGCAGGGACTTTCCCAGCTCAGCAGAAAGACTGTGCCTGTCTTAGGTGAAAAATGTTCAGAGAAATCCCTACCCATCATCAAGCCATGAGAAATTTAATACTCATGCTCTATCTTAGGTTGGATATTTCTCCACAATTCTCTTACCCATCTTTGACTTCCAGACTCTGTGGAGGCTTGACATGTAGCTTTCTCTACCTCTATCAACATTTTTAACCCTTGATCCTCACACCAGGACTCATTAATTTTTTATGGGCATCATTACAAAGGGAGGTCGTCTCAAAACCATCACAGAGGAAATGGGGGTCAGCAGATTCTCTGTATCCCCATATGATATAGAATTGGTCAAATTACAATTATAACAGCTGATATTATATTCATTAACATTTTCATACACAACTGAGACATCTCCCACTAATAGCATATAAGGAGCATTAACACAAGACATTCTCTTTTGCTTTTGTTCTTTGACTTGAGATAACAGTATTTATGGTATTTCGCATATTAGAGGCCCTTATGCCAAAAACATTGAAACTAAGGCTAGTAGATTTGACATCTGACCATAAACATATTTCTCCCAATGCAGCAGCAAGTTTCCAAATGTTGGTTTGAGAAAAACCTGAATCTGTCCACCAAAGTCCTGCAGATAAGCTTACGCCTGTGGAATTTCCAAGTGACCAGTCCAAAAACTTTGAGATGTGTCATTAAATAACCTTTCCTGAGGTATAGTAACAAAACATCTTTTCCAGAAAATCATAGTATTAAGGACTGTGGAGGTTCACCAGTCCCGTTAAATCCTCGTTCTGGATAAAGAAGGGACAACTTTTTGCTTTTTGGAATGAAATTTCCATTTGTGCACTGAGACATATCCTGGAGTTTTCTCTGCTGCTTCAGTGTTGGGGTCCCAATCCAGTCTCCTCAATGGAAACCCAGCTTCAAGCTGTTCAGGGATAGTGGTGGGTCTATAAATGTACCTGTAACCATGAGTAGGTGGAGCAGAAGAGAAGGGAGAATACCTGGACCAAAAGGTTATTATCATAAACAATATGCTAGAAAACAATATGAATACATTTTGTATACCAGAAAAGTAGCAATAATAATTATAATTATATGAAATCTTATGTCCTGTAATGTAGCTCTGTTATCAACAGGATCTCCCCCCTTTTTACAGAAAATATTATATTTTGAAGATAACCATCATAAACATGTTACAATAACATATTTAGAATTCAGCCTTTTGATGATAACCAATGTAAACATTTTTAACAACATATTTAACAAGGCATATCTTTTTATAAGGCTATGAAAATTATTTGGGCGGCTCCCACTAGTGAACAAAGATCAGAATAAATTTTCTAAGCAGCTGCTTCTTTACCAACAGGAGTGTATCCAAACTTAAAGGTTTATATTTAATTATCTTTTAAGTTTTTTATTTAATCCTATAAAGCCAGGTTGTAGAAATCAACAATCTATTTGTATTTGATGTCATTTTGATAAAAAACATAATTGGACAAATATTTTTGAACATTTAGACAGACAAACATATATGACAATTTAAAACTAGAGTGCACTCAGATGGTTTTGGCCAATTATAAAATCTTTTCGTTACAACTAGTCAAAACTTTTGCAGGGCAACATTAACAGAGATCTCTTGTAGAATTAGGGTTAAAGGAATGAAAGCTCTTATTGACTGTAAATGTAAACCTTTTATAACAAACTTGAAACCAACAAGCAAACATAAATAAATCATTTCCACACACCTCTACATACTTAGGCCTTCTGGTCTTGTATATCTTTCTTTACCTGTTTTTAACAAGACGAACATACAAAAATCTTTCATGTCAAAAGTATAAGTCTTATTTATAGTTTTCTTAATATTTTTGTCTCATTTATTATTAACTTTCTATAACAAATTTCAGCTTAAAGTGTCCTTTTTCTGTTTTCAGATTGTTACATCTTAAAATTTGACTGGTTGCCAATAGAACAGTATTAACCTTGAGTTTTTAGAAAAGAGCAAGTTAACCCTATAATTGCAGTTTAAGAATTTGCAATGCACAAGAAGTGTTACCAAAACTAGTTTTCACTAGCAGCTGATTGTCACAGAGCAGAAGTTTGAGCAACTCCTAGGCTGGGTTGTTTTGAACTCTCTTTCTTAGTTATGTAGAGTCCAAGGTCAGCTGCAGTCTGACAGACCTCCTGGAAATGGTTTAAATCAAGGTGAGGGGGGTAGATGAGCTCCCTCCCATTTTATCAGAAAATTCAATATAAGCAAACAGACAAACAAGGGAGCAAAAGAGGCCAAACAGAATGTAAGACAAAGGCTTACAAAAACCACACCGAAAGAAGAACCAGAGACT